TTGCTGCGCAGTACAAAAGCCTCGAGAGCAAGTATAGCCCGATCTTCGTCATTTATAGTGATGTAGTACTGTGCGACCTAGAAATTAGTGCATACACAGAACATCTCTCACGTGATAGACAGAAACGAAATTGCCAAGATTTCAGGTCAACTCTACCGTTTTGATCAGTTCATGGAACCACTCGAAGTCAACCCCTGCTTGCGAAGGATTGATCATTTGCGCAGCTTGCAGTCGAGTACGCATTGCCAATGGACGGAGATCTCAATCAAAAGTCTGAATTCATTGTACCAAAAATTAGGATCAACTCACTTAGTATGTCCAGCATTTCTATGCGATTTTCGTAGTATTTCCAGTTTTTCAAATCCAGACGAACGGCTAAAACCGGCAAATTCTGAGGCTTTGAAAGGTATCCTAAGCCGCGCATGTGCGTTAAAGAAGAGCGGATACCTCGTCCATAGCAGGCGGCAGCTTCCTCAATAAGTTCAAGCTTCTTCGATTCATCACCCCAATGAGCCCAGTCTTCGGCAGGTGTACGTGGATCCAAATGCGCTGCCAGTAGGCCATATCTGCAAGGCGCTTCAACATCAACGTTCTTCTAGGAAGGCAAGGAAGATACATGGTAATATGTAAAAAGGCTTACTGCAAACTTTTCTGGTAATCGCCTAGCTCTTGATAGATATCCGAGACCTGTCGATATGAAGCGGCATTTCGCGGCTCTTGTCGTATGACCTATAGCGCAGCATAAAAAGAAAGGTTACTAGGTACAGTATATATCGCCAACCTCAAGCAAAACAGCCAATGCTTCCTTGGTGTTTCCTCTAGCATATATGACATTTGCATGCCCTAGCAATGCATCCATCGTTTTACTGAGCTTGCGAGGGATTCGTTCTCTCTCGGTGGTGGAGTCTGCCGCAGCTTCAGATGTTGTCGGTTCTTCTGTTTCCATTGAGACGGCTGATGGAAGGACATCCTCTCGGCGTGCGCCAAGTTCGTCATTCACAATCTAGACAGATGAGAATAACCGTCAACCAAAGCAATATTCGACCAAGTTGAGAAAACCCAGAAATACCCATTCCTTCTCAAGCAATGGAAATGGCTTTCAAAACACAGAAAACTGCATTCTCCAAAGCTGCGACTTACTTCCTGCATCAAATTCCTTATATGAACGGGAAGGTCACCACCGGCTCGCGATGTGAATTCGGATTTGATAGGCTCTCTCTGAAAGACAAATGAAACGACTTGCATGCACTGATTAGTTAAGTTTTTTCGCGCACCTGTGGCTCTTCTGCCGCGCCA